TATTAGTTTTTTCTCATACCAGGCTCACCGAGAGGGGGGTGGGCGAATGGGCAACTACCCTGGGGCCCATAAGAATGCCCCAACTTTAAACTCGACTTTTTTAAAAATTTGCATAGTCTTAAGTTAAGAATCCATAGGCCAGAAAAACTGATGCGAAATTAGTCTACAAGCCAAGCGAAGTTCAAAATGGAAAATAGCATAACTTTGGACTGAATAAAGAAATTTCCTTCAAATATAGTTATAGCAATAGAACATTCAAAAACTGCTGGTAATGCTAATACAACTGACAGTAAAAACAAAGATTTTCGAGTTAAAGTCAAAGAAAAAATTTACAGAGAGATTTGTGAGCTGCGAGCGCTTTCCAGCGGACCGTCTAAAATTCCAGTATAACTTCCGCCAACTGCCAAACCTTCCTGCTAAACCTCGTGTAATGTGCTGTTCTGCATCCGGGACGCCATGCGCCAGGGCCCAATCGCCACATACTTCCGTGTTGTTAAGTGTTCAGTGCAAATAAATGTAAGTAATTGTTTAATCATCGATTGTTCTTAATTACATATATATTAGGTTATTTCCTTAGTAGCAATGTAGCTTTCTTTTAATGTTGCAAATGACCTAGAGACTTAAAAGCCAAGGTTTTAACTTTTCCGATTAGCCTACTGGCTTAGCTTAGCCGCTTAGGCCTAGTGTAACATCCATATTAGGCTAAGCGTGAAGGTTAAACTTCATATCAAAAGAATGATTTGTTTTTTTGTTAAATAATGCAGTATCTTATTGTTATCACTTATCAATATCTTATTAATTGTATCAATATTAAAGTTTTAATGTAAATTAAGCGCAACTAAAACAACAAAACTTTGAACTTAACTTAGCCTAACCTAACTGAATTTTTTAAATTACTCATTTTCATCTTCTGTTGATTCGTGACTCTTCCAAATCGTTAATAATCAATGGATGTCGATCTAATTGAGGGAAAACAAAATTTTAAATTAAAATATGTATACAAAAATTTAATATCTAAAATAAAAATAGTATAAAAATATATTTAGTTTCATAACATATAACAGAATTGATAAGGAATAAATGATTATAGTATAGCTATACTCTTTTGTAGATACTCTAAAAATGTGTCTTTTTCCAGATTTTTACAGTAGAGTTACTATTGAATATCAGTTGAAGATTTCTCAGCATACTTCATCATTTTCTTTACAAATATTCATAAAAAATAATTCCTGGTGATTTATAATTTTTTTAATGATGAAATATTAAATTACTATAAAAGTTTATATCTGAAAAAAAATCAGGATTAGTGTGTGTTTTTCTTATAGCAAAGCCACATCGGCCTATCTGCTGTGTCCACCGAGGGGAATCGAACCCCTGATTTGAGCGTTCTAAATCCGTAGACTTACTGCCGTACCAGCGAGGGACATCAGGATTAGTATCCAAAAACCCAAGTATTCATTTTTTCTATAACATGCTATTTTATTTGCTTTATACGTCCTTAGAATAGATACGTGTGTTATTAAGTTATAATAAATGCTTTAGCAGTGTAATAGCTAATGTTTTGTGCTCTTTATGGTTGTATTTCTTGCCTTAACATTGACTGGCTCTACCTCCTGGCACACACCAACAATGCCCCTTCCTTAAGTGTCTGCTCACATTTAGAGAAATTGGCCACTGTTATACGTACTACTTGATGACCTGCCACAAGTGACCTTCCAATATTCAAATCCACTGGCCTTACCACTTCCAGTTCCAATCCATTGGGGTGGTTGACCAAGGAGGCACCCTCCTGGATGAGTTCTACACATAAAAACTTCAAACCATTCAGTTGAGAGTAGAGCAGTGATGTTCTGCTGGTGTAGATACGATGTGGCCTCTTGATCATGGTAACACAACCTCACTGGAGTTGAGCCGTCTCCTTACTGGATGACATGGCCTACTACTACCATTTACACAACCACTGAAGTTAAGCCATTACCTTCACAGATGATGTGGCCTCCTACTAACGTTTACACAACCACTGGAGTTGAGCCGTTGTGTTCATGGTTGACATGGCCTCCTACTAACATTTACACAACCACTGGAATTGAGCCCTTGCCTTCCTGGTTGAAGTGGCCTCCTGATATTGTTTACACAACCAAGGGATTTGAGGTGTTGCCTTACGAGCTGATGTGACCTCCAAATTCTTTTTTACACAAACACTGGAGTGGCCTCCTGATACATACTACATATATACTGGAGTTGAGCTATCACAATATCATCCCCCCCCCTCAATTGGGAGACCTCATCCTACCTTTGTGTGGAAGTCAGTTCCCAGTTGAGGTTTTGGATTAGAGTGAACCAATCAAAATAACTCCTCCCACGAGTACAGGTTGTTTATTTTCCTCCCTCAGTTTCTCCATCTGTGTCTTTAGTCACAGTGGTGGTACATGGGATTGCTCTGGTGCTCCTTGAATATCTCTTGTTTTCTTCTTGTGGGGATGATATTGCTTTTGAATGGTGCTTGCCTATGCCACGGTTGGGGGAGTTTATTATATGTGATCAACGTGCTTTCGATACTAGATGTCTATTCCCTGATCAATAAAACAATGAGAATCCTCGTGGCATACCCAGAAATCAGTGCAGATCTTAATACCTGATTCTTGGGTTTAAGGTGAAGATAGTATGATTCTCATCCTACCCCTGTGAGGAGGTTTTGGATGTAGTTGACTTTCAGAGTACTGTCCGACATGCCCTAGCCACTCTACACCTCACAATTTTCGCCCTTGTCCATGAAACACACTGCACAGGGGCGAAGAATATACCTGGCTCAAATATATATCTCTCATGGTCAGGGGGATTCTTTGGACACTTTCGGGGATACTTCTTTCATT